GCTCAGGATGTTACAACACAGCCAACCACCCAGGATGTTGCAACACAAAACTCAGGATATCACTACACTAGATCTCAGGATGTAATCACACAACCCATTACCCAGGTCGTTATAACACAAAAGACTAATGGTCACACAGCCAGCACCTCAACTACTCAGGATGTTACGAAACAGCCAAACAATCCACAAACAATGGCTCTCAGGATGTTACGAAACAGCCAACCAATCCACTTACAGCAACTAAGCCAGCACTCCACCCCCCCACCAGTATTTATAGAGAGACGGCAGCTCCGATCACACTTTGCTCGCACAGGCACGAAGCCGAAGACCCCAGCCTGAAGATGACGAGTGGGACCTCGTCGAAACGTCGCCAAGATACTCTCAATCTTACACGGGAAAAGATCCGAATACGCCAAGACCTGTGTATATGTAATAATACATATATATTTATTTATATTGCTTTTATCAACTTAGTTTACCACTAGGCAGCCACCCCACACAAAATGAAACATTTTGCATACAGCTGACAGTTAACATAATAACAAATGGTGTTATATCATATTATTATATACCTTTATAATTCAAAGGGGTTTATATAATATTCCTGCCTGTTTTCCACACAACAATCCTGTGAGGTGGATTGAGATGAGAGTGACTAGCCCAAAGTCACCTAGCTAGATTTCATGCTGAAGAGAGAATTTGAGCTCACTATTTCTAATCCAGCACCTTAACAAGTGGCTCTCTTTCAAACTTCAGTTTGCAAACTATCTTAATAATGGCAAAAGCACAAAGGGTATTCTCTATTTTTTTAAATTATTCTTATTGTTTATATCCTATGTTTTAATATATGTTAATCAATTTTTTTTATCAGATGCTTTTTTCCCTTTTCTCTTCAATTGTGTCTGATTCTCAGAGACTACTTGGACAAGTCCCTGCAGTTTTCTTGGCAAGGTTTTTCAGAAGGAAAATCCATTGCCTCCTTCCTAGGGCTGAGAAAAAAATGACTGGCCCAAGTCAACCAGCTGGTTATGTGCTTAAGACATCTCCAGGTTTCTACCCTAATGCCATAACCACTATAACCAAAACTGGCTCTCAGGCTGGTTCCCAACTACTTAGCAGTTGTCAGCTGCTCTATTTCTTTTTCATCCACATAAGCTGTTATCAATCCAAGAGCATCTGCTGTACTGCAGACAATATATTTTAGAAATAAATACTTGCAATTTTAAAAATTGATAGTACAATCCTGAATCCCACTAATACAAATGAATCTTTTTTCCCACAGTGACAGCATGGCATAAATATTGTGGAGAGTTTTAGATTCCCTCCCCCCATGCTATTAGTATTCTTTACCGACGAAATAAGGCTTTGCTGAAATGAATAGAGAGCCTGCCCTAACACATCCTTGTTCAACGTTTTATTAAAGTTTCACTACAGAATACTGAGCATAGCAAACACGTTAGCTTTTAGCTAAGGCTGCTGTACTGTACTGTACAGTATTTTTATGCCACAAAAATAGGCATAAATACACATAACTTTCAGTTCTTTGCCGCCACCATGTGATGGTCCTGAGTTTTTCAGCACACGATGAAACTAGATACAGAACGATGGCTCTGAGGGGAAAAAAATAACCGCCTTTTAAGGAGATTCGGGAGACAAACGAAACAAAGGACAGGTGACAGGTGAATCTGAAGACCACAGCAGGTGGCAATCATAAAAGCCGAATTCGGTTGCCAAGCGCGCGCGGACACCGAGTCTCTTTGGCGGGTTTTGGTTTTTTTTTTTTTTTTTTTTTTGAGCGCGGGCGTCTGTGCGTTCGCGTCGCGATTATGACGTAGAAGGCGGAAATGGGCGAGGCCGTTTGGAATTTTGGCGCGAGCGCGGATCGTTGGGTGCCTTCTCGGAAGCTTGGCGCGCTCCTCAGAGGAGGGGGAGGCGGTGGTGGGACTGAGGGAAAACCGGGTTGCTGCTCACGGAGAATCCGAGTTTTTCTTCTTTCGCGATTCAGAGGGGATTGGGACGCAGGAAGAATTTAAAGAGGTATTACTATAAAATTACTATTGGGGTATTATAGCTAGCAGGGTTTCTTATGCTTTAGCAGATGGCAACATTTGCTTCATTTTGTGAAAGCTTGGAAGCTAATCAGTGGTTGTCCTAAGTATTTGTATGGGAAGCTACTAGATAGTGCTAGAGTTGTTGGTTAAATTGGAAAATCATCCTTGAAAGAGGCAATGGCCAACCACTTTTGAATTATTACTAAAAATACTGCATGGATGGATCCATGTTCTAGAGTTATCAAGAGATGAACTCAATTGAAGAGTAATTTTACCTTTGTGTACTGCCACAAATTGTAAGAGTGCAATTCTCTTCCAAAAGATATTTATAATCTAGATTTAGAATATTAGAGGAAGAGAAGGCAAATTAAAAATGGGTAGTGGAAAATACACATATTTAAGTTTTATTTATTTTAGTCACATTAGAGATTGGAATTAAAGGAGATTAAAATTTCCAGGAACATAGCTTTGAAAAGGGACTTGCGGAAAAAGATGACTCAATAAAAATTCACATAATACATTGTGCCCTGGATTACCCAATCATATTTTAATCAAGCCAATGTTTTAGTTTTGATAATGTTATGCAAACCCACAACATAATTTGAATTTGTTAAGTAAATCAAAATTAACCATGAGACAGTATGTTGTGTGAATATAGCAAGAGGCATTGGGAAGAATTAATCCCAAGTATATTAGCATTAACACAAATGGGTAGAATCATGTGAGAAAGCAGAAAAGTTTCAAAACCTTATGACTAGTGTATTAGGATTGGAGAAACAGATGTTCCTTTTTCATCTGATGTGTTATTAATGAAAAAGTGGACTTTTTATGGATATGTTGGATAAAATGTTTAGTTTTTTTTCAAGGGGAATAAATTTAGTGATAATAAATTGAGTGAATGATTTGTTCATTCTGTCTTTATTTAACTCTTTCAAAAAGTTAGAGTACACATTTCTTGTACATAGGAATTCAGTTTTATATGCATTAGAATTTTGTAAAATAATTCAGACTTTAAAAAGTGACTCATGGTCATAGAGTAAGTTAATGTTCTGGAAAAATCTATAGGCCACACCCCATTATAAGTGAATTAGTCATGTGGGCTAGAGCAGTGGTCTCCAACCTTCTACTTGGCAGACCGGCGATGGTAGTGGTAGGGAGAGGGAATGGTTTTACGCACGCACTCGCCGCTTTCACAAATGCAGCTTCGTGTGCACGTACTCAGTCACCCACCACTTCCACGGTCCGATTCCAAATGGGCTGCGGACTGGAGGTTGGAGACTCCTGGTACAAAGAAAGCCATAGAACTAACTTTAGTATAGGTGATTCCAATGATCACTGCATTTTTGTTACCCAAAAACGTATATCCTCTAATATTGTAATAATATGTGGGGAAAACCTTGAAAACTGGGGCAACGAGATACTGCCTAATGTTTGAATAAGAGAGGACATAACTCACAGCTGGATAGTGGACAGAGCAAGAGGCTCAGAAGAGACCCTTCCTTAGCTTCTAGGGCTGTAAAGAAGACAGTGGGAGATTTGTACTTTCTGACCTGCAAGATTTTGTTAATACAACATAATACAATACCTTGCAATAAAGTAGAATTAGTTTATTGAATCTGGTCATGTTTCCTGTCTGGTCTACCTGGAAAGGTGGACAAATATTTTTGGGAGATTTCCATCATATTTCTTGGCATAGGTTGGCAAGACAGAAAGTCCAAGGATCAAGAAAGGAACTTTGGAGACTGGCATTGCTGCACTAAATGTGCAATTTTCTTAGATTCTTCTCAGTGGCCGAGACACTTCTGTGCAAATCTGATTAGAAATAGCCAGGTGTGGCAGATAATCACAGTATAGCTATTACATGTTGGAATAGATAAATATTTCTTTAATTGTCTTTGTCTACAATGTAACTTCTGTCCAATTATTTGGACATGAATAAAACCTTCCATCTAAAAGGGCTCATAAAAATACTTAAAAAGGGGAAAGGTGTATGATTCTTATTGTCAATGGGACAGAGAAGCATATCAAAGAAAGGGTTGTCATTTTAGAAGCCTGAGAAGCTGTTTAGGTAAGTGCAAGAATGACATGAAGGAAACCAAGGAGAAAGTTAAATGTGAAGATGGAGTCTAGAGTTAAATCAAATTATATTCCCAACTTAAAGTTGGTTTACACAAGCTCTGGTTTTGGAGATTTAGCCCAAGAATATTTCTGTCTTTCTGTCTTTTCCTCTCTATGAGGAAAGCAGGACAACATCAGAGCAGGGCAAATGAAGAATTGCTGGAAGAGGAGAAATTTAGAACATGGTGATTGATCAGGGACAGACTAGCTAAAAGGCTTAGTAATGGAGTAACTTGAAATGGTCCCTGAACAAATATAAGTTAAGGAAGGGCTACCTATATTATGGACCATTTTTAGATTGCAGATAATTTTTCAATTTGAAGAGAAAGAGGAGTATGCTGTAATGTGGAAAATCGGGAGTACAAGCAACAGGATTAGTACACAGTATTTTTAAGCAACAACTTAATCCCCATCTTCTACTTCAGATTTGTAGTTCTGTTACAAAAGTATTCCTTTTAACTCAACTGCTTCTTTTAAATGCCTCTTTTAATGCCTATAACAGCCTTGTAAATTTTTATTTTACTCTGGGTAGTCCAGTGATTATTCTATTATCTAGAAATGTTCGTTGGACCATTTTTATAATATTTTATAAAATATTTTGGTGAGACTTGCTACAATATTTTGGTGAGATTTGCTCCATAGTATGCAGAACATAATCAGCTTCATAGCTACATTTGAAGTCCTACTCTTAGTCTGATGCTCTTAGCACTGTAGAAATATAGTTTGTGTCTTTTAATAAAATATTATACACAATTACAGTTGCCATGTTGGATAAGAGAGCATGTAGTGCACTCTATAACCTTTATCCTTAAGTAAAAGTAAAGGTAAAAAAGTCCTTGCAGATTTTACTCTGCTAGTCATTGCCAACTATAAGGGGCGGTGCTCATCTCTGTTTCAAGGCCATTGAGCAAGCAGTGTCTGAAGACATTTCCGCAGTCAGGTAGCCAGCATGACTTCACAGAGCACTGTTACCTTTCCACTGAAGTGGTACCAATTTATTCGTATTTCATACTTTCAAACTGCTAGTTGTCAAGAGCTGGGGCAAGGACAGGAACTCACTCCGTCACATGGCACTCGAGTTTCGAACCTGGACTGTTGGCTTTCCAGCCAACAAGGTCCAATGTCTTAACCCACTGAGCCACCATGCCGCCCCTTACCCTTAAGTAATCGGCACTATTTTCATTACAACTTATCCCTGAAAAACATATATGATCACTTTAAAAAAAAAAAAATCAAGTACTTTATGATGGATTATGTAAGCAAGGAACTGGTGGAAAAAACCAATACTTTGAAACTTTTTATATTGTTTGTTCAATTTATAGTTCTGCTCAGTGGTGGGATTCAAATATGTGAACAACCCCGGTTTTCTGTGTGGATGCCGCTTCCAGAAATCCATTCTGGGCCTGGGCAACAAAAAATTAGCTACCGGTTGTGGTGCGAACCGGCTGAATCCCACATTTGAATGTCACATGTCTTATCAGGAATCACTAAGAAACTTCATGACTGTTATTGATGGATCCTGGAGAGCTGCAGCAGACAGATAAATCCATCTTACCTGAATTACTCTTCAAATGGCCAGAATTTGGAGATAGCAGACCACAGAGCATTGATTTTCTCAGATGGAAATCTAGTGCTGATTGAAAAGTATGGTCATTGTTAAAGCTTTTGGTTGATAAGGGTTTTTTAAAGGATAAAATAAAGAGAATCTTACTGCAAAAAGAACTGAAAACATAGAAATTATTAATATCAAATTAAAGGCTGTTTTTAGAATTGTAAGCTAGAAATAAAGAAGCATCAGTTTGTGCTATAACAACACTAGAGGTCTTACAAACTGTAAGTGCATCTAACTAAGGAAGAAATAAACAAAGCAGACAGATGCATAACTAATAAGCTTTATAGTTTGGCTATTTATATTAGCTCTATGAATTTTATGGTTTTGTTAAATATATTTACTTACCTACATTCATACGAGTTAAGGTGAAAAACGTAAGGATGCTTATTACATTTTATTGGGGTTTTTTGTTTTCTTTTTAGTTGACATAATGTATTTTTCTCTTTAATATGCTATTACATTGTGTGAAAAGATAGTTTAAACTCAATATATGTCATGATCTATATCAGTGGTGGCAAACCTATGGCACGGGTGCCAGAGGCGGCACTCAGAACCCTCTCTGTGGGCACGCGCGCCATCGCCCCAGTCCTAGGCCTTCAGCTGGGTTTTATAAAACCTTTTTTCTTTAGACCTCTGCCACCGTGTGCAAAAAAAAAAAAAAAAGGTTCAATCAATGAGTCAATTTCAAGTTCTCGTGGGAAAAAAAAATCTTGCAAAGTTGGAATTGATTGATTGAACTTTTTAGTCCCACCCAGTCTGCCGTTACCACAGCAGCCACGCCCACCCAATGGGCCACACCCACCCAATGGGCCACACCCACCCGGCACCCGACAATGCATAAGTGGGTTTGGGGTTGCAGTTTGGGCACTCGGTCTCTAAAAGGTTCGCCATCACTGATCTATATTATTCCAGTTAGGTTAAATATGAGGAATAGTTTGTAACCGTGCTTATATTCAGTTTTTATGATTTATGAATCTGAAGGAAAATCCTCAATAGCTTAGCACCAAAACTTGATGCTTTCTGGTTTAGGCTATAAAGGAAAATATTGCATAGTATTACTGATTACACTTTCTATTTTCAGACATGCCAGTACCTCTTGACTGTTCAGGTGCTGAGTTTCAGTTGAGCCATACTCCTCTGCCAGTGCCTGCCTTCTTCAGGGAAGCAGAATGCAGTTTTTCCATCAAAAAGACCCGCCAAGCCCTCAGCTATACCCTTCCTCCACGGCCACGCCACAAGAGCACATTAACTGTGAGCCGAATTTTCTCTGACCGCCATTTGCAGCCTTGGACTAAGCTCCAGCCACGTAGTGTTTCCTTCCATAGCTTGCACAAGCAGCAATCACTTCTACATAGTCATCTGTATGATGCCTCTAAAAGAGAGTTGTTTTTCAGGCAATGCTTCCAGAAACTGAGCTGTTTGGGACGAGGATCTTTTGGGGAGGTATATAAGGTAAGTGGTCATCAAGTAATGATTAATGGCTTAAAATAAGCTTACAGAAATTAATGGAGACTTTAATGGATTTTAGTTGGGACAGCTAAATGGAGATTCCACATTCTGTAGGGCTATGTGGGACTAGATAAAAAGTATGATCATCACATTCCATTAGTAAACCTCTTTGAACCATGTGGCAGACAACTCAAAAAAATAAATTGAACTTTTATTTAAACAGCAGATAATTTCCTATATTTCAGTGTAACTTGGTATCCCGTAGAAATTTTTGCATTTCAGATTACAGTATTTAAGTACTTGTGATTTAATTTTGGCTGCCTTAGCAATTAGAACAAATATAACATTTATTTGCAGTCTCATTACAGGATATAGACCAGTGGTGGGGAACCTATGGCCAGAGGCAGCACTCGGAGCCCTCTCTGTGGGCATGCGCGCCGTCACTCCAGCCCCGCCTCCCACCACAGCCCCCTCACCAGCAGCCCCCTGGAGGAGAGTCACCCCCGGGCGTGGCCTGCACAGAGTAGTACAGCCAAGGACATAGCCAGGCAGCACAGACAAGACTTCGCCCTCACACCCCATAGTGTGCAGATGCTGTGGGGTGGGTGGAGGGCGTGGCTGCCATGGGGCTACAGGGCTGCCTGGGCGATCTGCGGCGGGCCATGGAGGCAGTGCATGGCCCTGCAGACGGGTGGGGCAGGGGGCGGGGCAGGCAGGGCTGGAGGTGGAGCGGGGGGTGGTTTTGGGGCACTCGATCTCTAAAAGGCTCGCCATCACTGATATAGACATTACTCCGTCAGAGAAAAATAATATTTTTGGCACAATGGTACCACTCATCACTAACGATGTTGGGATTATCTGGTAGGATTCTTTAATTTAAAACCAAGTTCCTCCCCATTCTCTCTTATAGGTACGGTCTCATGAAGATGGTCAATTGTATGCAGTGAAGCGTTCTGTAGAGCCTTTCCGGGGTGAGGGTGATAGGCAGCGCAAATTGGCTGAGGTGCGCAAGCATGAGCGTGTGGGGCACCATCCCAACTGTGTGAGCTTTGTACAAGCCTGGGAGGAGCGTGGTCAATTGTACATCCAGACAGAGTTGTACCCGGGCACCTTGTTGCAGTACTGTGAGGAATGTGGGCCTCTGTCCGAATGGCAAGTTCAGGCCTTTCTCTGGGATATGCTTCAAGGACTGCGCCATTTACATGATCGTAACCTTCTACACATGGATATCAAGCCAGCTAACATCTTTCTATCATCTACCAATGTCTGTAAGCTGGGCGACTTTGGGCTAATGCTGGAGTTGGACTCTGGGGATTTGAAAGATGCTCAAGAAGGGGATCCACGCTACATGGCCCCGGAACTGCTCCGTGGAGAATATACCAAGGCTGCTGATGTCTTCAGGTGTGGGGTGTGATGAGAAGGTGGGGAGCTAGATTTTCTGGTGCCAGGAATGGTCACTCTTGCATAATTTGCTCCTTTGCCTCAAATGTTGCTAACAATGGGTATTAAAAATCAGTGGTATGGTTTAATAGTGCTGCCTGCTACTATTACGTGATCTATGTCTTTCTGTCTTCCCAGTCTAGGCATAACTATCCTAGAAATTGCCTGTAATATGGAGCTCCCCAATGGAGGTGAAGGCTGGCAGCAACTTCGACAGGGTTATTTGCCCCCAGAATTCACTGCAGGTGAGAAGCAGTAAAGGGGACATCTCTGTGTATAATATCTACAATGCAAGAATTCTGCTGGCAATCTTAAGCAGGCAAACTAAAAAGCAGAATAATCAAGTAAAAAAGCCGCTGACATGAAAAATTCAATATGCCACATAATTAAAGAAAGGTGACTGACTCTTCCTATCTACTTCAGGTCTCTCCGTTGAGCTGCAAAAACTTCTAGTTGCCATGTTGGAACCTGATCATTTTCTCCGGCCCTCAGTGGAGATGTTGCTTAATTCTAGTCTCATGCAGAAAACTGAGAAGTGGCGAAAACTCATGTTGTTAGTGCAATCTGGGATCCAGCAGGGTGTCTCCATGTACAAGGTAAGCATGAATTTAGCCAGATATTGTTATGGTTCAAATTCTACAGCAACCTTTAACCATATCCTCTTTGGTGACTATTCATTTTTATGTATGTTTGCTTCATAATGGAGTAATAAACCTTTTAAAAATAAATAAGTACCACACAGGGATGCCAGAGCACTCTTTTCCTTATAACTATAGTCATGACTTCTGTTTTTTTAGCTTAGTAAGTCTTAATAAATTGTTAGATACTTTTACCTGCGATTGAATGAAACTAAACTGGTTCTATTTCTCCTTGAATCTTTGGAATTCTTAGACACATATTAGTACAAAACCCTGTTTTATATCAAATGCTTATTGTCATTTAATGCTAGAACCCTTTCTAGTTTCTGTTTACTGTCAAATTTAAGACATGCTATATTTCATGGTTGTTTTGTGTATAATATATCTGCTGATCTCTCAGTGTTCGATCCTTTCTGCTCATTCCAGGCTCTCCTCAGGTTCATACAGTGGCTCTGGGGAGCTCTGTGCAGTCCAGCTCAGTGGTTGCTCTTTTGGCATCAGACTGTTCCAGTCACACCTCCACATTCACCCTTTCTTCTTCCCCTGGAAAACTGCAGTCTCTCTAGTCACTGGGGTGAAGAAGATGTGGGTGATGAAGAGAGCCTTGGGCAGGCTGTACTTGATCTCTCTGAGATAAATGAACGACATAATCACACTTGCCCTGTGGAGCTACAGTCCTTAGATAAGTAAGTCCCTTTTCTACCTATCTCAAAATGTGGCAGAAGTAGAAAGTGAACATGAACAAGTGGCCTGCATCAGAATATATTAAAAATAGTGTTAGATGAATCCTAGTGCTTAAGGTCAGTGAAGTGCTTGCCTAATTTGAGAAACAAATAAGCTCAAATCTCAAAAATTCATTGGAAAAATTCCCTTCTGATACTGGAATTGATGAATTAGTAACACAAATTCCATTTACCCATCCTTTTTTAGAACTCCTTAATTCTGTAATACTTCACCTGCATGCAGTAATCTTATCTGATTTTAGCAATCTCTGAAACCCAAAATAGAGGACAGTGATTAGGCTTGTGAAAAGTATTTGAAGAAGCACTTTGTAAAGAGCCGTACCAATTTTGCTGCCTGGAGCATAACTGACAACCAAAGAAGAGCTTCAAATTGATTGTTCCCTGTCTTTGAGAGAGAAACTGCCTCACTATTCCATGCAGCAGTGTCCTCCAATGCTTTTTACATTTGTAAAAATTTTCTAGAACACCATCCCAAGCCTGACATTAGTAAACTTATCCAATTCTATTTTTCATATGAGAATGTATTTCTCTTGATATTTTCTCTAATTATTAGGAAATGTTTTTTTTAGCTTATGAAATGCTGTTGTCAATTATTAAGCATTAAAAGAATTACTTGGTTGAAAGTACTTATCTAGCTTTTAAACAAAATTTCATCTTTGTTTAATTGCTAAGGATAGCCAACTGTCCTATCAAAAAAATAATTATCCCCTGATCATTCAAATTATTTCTGGCTAGGAATTTACCTTTTGGAGGCAAATGATTAATACTCTTTGCTTTTTTCTTGAAGGCAGAACAGATCTGTTAATACACCTAGAGCTTGTATGATGAAAGGGAGAAGAGAAAGCACATACAGCCTACTTGTTCAAACATGTTGTGCATCATTTATTATGTGTTGATCTGAATTCCCCACTCATTCTCCAACATATCTTTGTCAGACTTCTGCTAAGCCTGGTAGTAAAACCTCCTATTTACTTTGTTCCCAGACATCCTAGTTCTCCCCTGCTTACCATATGCCCATGTGCAGGAAGCACCTCCACACCACGGCATCCCTCATCCCAACAGATTGGTTGCAGGAAAAACAGGTGAGCTGTTACTGACTATAAGGAAATATTTGTTTTCATATATATATAACCAGATATAATCTGGTTTGCTTTGATTTAGAGAATTGTGCAAATGTAATATTCAGTAAAGTCCTATTACTTAAACCAAAGCTTACTGTGTGTAAAACCAGTCAGTAACTAAATTTCTGGAGATTTTTGCAGAGTTGCCTGCAAACTGAAGATACAAAATAATATTCAGAATGCTTGATGGCTTACTCAGGGAGCAACTGTAGCACTGGGCTAATACTTCTGTTGCATGTTTTCACCTCTTCGGTAAAAGATAAAAGTGTGGCATTTTGAAGTTTGAGACTTTCCCAAGGCTCTTAGACTGTGGAGAGGCCAAGTTTCTTTCTTGCCAAGTTGTGAGGTTTCCATACTTTTTTCCTTTTTAACTTTTTTTTATCATTCACAGGTCTTTTACACCCCAGGGAAGTCCCAACCTTAATTGCATTAGTCTGAAGTCTCCATGCAGCAGCCCCACTTCATCAAACATATTACCTGCGAATAGCTTGCAGCACACACCAGCATATGAGGATACAGAAGATGAATGGGTATCGGTTTTACCTCAATGCTCAAATAAGTGCTCCACTTTTGAGCCAAAAAATTTGTTAAACTTATTTGAGGATTCTCTGGCACCTCAGCAAAAATGTCAGAGCTGATGGGGGAACTATATTTATTTGCTGGTTTGCTTAGGCCCTTTTTTGGAACAGGAAGAGGTTTTTGCCATTAACGTTATGTTAGAGGTTAATATGCTCAGAGTTTTGACTGAGATCAGACTAGCAAAGGAAAGGCAAGTTTGTATGGATGCTTTGCTTTGTGTACATTTTATCTACTTGAGTCATATATACAGCTGCTTTTAAGATGATTTAAGAATAGTATTTTGCTGGCAATCAGTAGAAAGCAGATCATACTCTGCCATCATTTTAGGGAAAAGGCATCCTACCTTTATACAAATTTGATGCTTGAATACATTCTGTACGCATTTCTTTTTTAAATTTTGTCCCTTTCTGTTTGTGTCCCAAAGATTTGTTGTCATTTGTGGAATTGGACTTTGAGTATCGGGAGTGAATAATCTTTCATAATGTGATTTTACAAAGGTGGCAGTCATGACAATAAAAACATTCAGAATTTCTACTAACTGGTCTGTTTCCTTTTTTAAAACATGACTATAAAGTAAAACTCCATTAAGAAAAAAAAAAGACTTAAAGGAGATGTTATTTAAAGCGAAGTCTAATAGACGATGAGGGAAAATATTTGAGTTTCTTGTTTAATGGAGGGAAATCTTGAAAATATAGACCTTCATAGAAGTGATTGCAAACTGTGCACATTATTAGCTGCCCATATTTACTGTCTCTTGATTTCAAGATTTTCCAATCAGATTATATGAGATGCCTATTCTTACTGGGTAGAGAAAAAGGTGACACGATGAATAAAAAATGTGCTTTTCTGAAAACTTGTTCATTCTACTTTAATGATCTTCAATTAGGATATAATTAGAATGCAAATATTTTCTTATTCTAGAATATCCAACTGGGAGCCTGATGAATGTATGTGCATCATTCAGTAGCAAAAAAGTCTGTACAGTATCAGTATGAAATTTGCCACCACAGTTAAGCAATTCCTGTCCTGCTTCTGTGGCATCTGTTCTGGCTCACAGAATGGCACTGCTTTGATTTTATGTATGCAATACATCACAACCAAAGCAGTCGGCTGATTTTTCTGGCTGTATTTTCTCTTCTGCATATCTACTAGTAGGAAAAATAGCCGGCAACCAAGACACTACAGGAAGGAGTGGGGAGAGATAATCTGGCTGCAGGTAGTGTTTCTGTAGGCTGACTATATTGTATTATATTGTAATCCATACTGAAGTTAAAAAGTCATTGCAGAAGCTGACTTTTTTCTTTGCTTCCTTTCCCTTCAATAGGCAATACATGTGAACTTCCAGATTGCCCTGCTACTTAACCAGCAGAGGCAAAAAGTACACTAATGCCATCATTCTGTTATTAGATTATTTCAGCCTCACAGTAACCTGGTAAAAATGATAAAGGTCAAAGTATTGCTAGCTGAGCAGTCTAGTCCAGTCCTGTTGTATAATTCTGACAAACTACCGGCACAGTGCTGCTATATCTTGCTTTTTAGGGAGACAACAGAATGGCAGCAGGCAATGTTGACTAGAAAAGAAGGAAGAGGACATGCCCAAAAATCTTGAAATAAGCAATAAGCTTCTTGTAGTTTTCATCAGTAATGACAACCTGATTTAACCTCTAAAACAATAGGTGACAAATAGATTTTATACTTTGTGGCACCTATTGGGAAATGAATGTGTGCTAAAACCATTCCATTTGTCAGAATACTTAACATAGTTGTCCAGTGCTGATCTTAAATTTCAGTAGCAAGAGTTCCAGGATACAAGATAAGGTGAGAATAATGAAATTTAAGGCAAAAATACCTTAAATATCAGTCGCAACTCTCAACCAACATATTCTGGAACTGATTTTGTCTAACTGTGTTAAGTTAATCTATTTACTCGATGAAGAGGTCTTAGAAATTCCAAAACTAGCATCTTATTTTCTAAAATTTAAGTTGCTCTAATAAAGATCTTTCTACATTTTTTTTCTTTTAGCCAATATAAATGCTTCATAGCTGATTTAAATCTTATTCTCTCTAGCCTAGATTGTAAGAGGAATGAGGTGTTAAATTTTTGTCCAGGCACTGAATTACAGAGTCTGAAATTCAACTCAAATGTTTGTAGATATTTTTAAAATATAAAGATATGTAATTCTAGTTGAAAACCAAAAGTACAATTTCTAAAGCATCAAGCGAATACAGGGTATAAAGTCCTACTCCCTTTCAGCCGAATATACAAGTATTCTAACTGTTAGAATGTAATGATTTAACTGAAAAAATAATTTTTCAATAAGCAGGCTATTAGCACTGAACTGATCTACGTTTCACTAAACATTTTTTGTAGTTAAGTTTTTATAAAACATGCAGTTGTTTTATAAAAATATAGAGAAAGCTTGTAGTACCGTAATTGAATCTTCAACCATACTTATTATTTCCAAAAGAAATGTGGTCCCTCACTTGTGAAAGATTCCAATTAGTTCCAGTCAGCACAGTAATTTTAGCTGAACCACAATTCAAGATCATACCCTTAGCAGCAATTCATTCAAATGTAGAGAGACAGTAAAAGCTGTCAATGTGAAAGTATTTAAGACTCCATTTCCACTGCTTCAGAATGAAATCTGATGGTTACTCTAATAGACATGAAGGAGGCATCTGGCATTGAGGACAGCATAGCCATCATAAGCTGGAAAATTTCAAGAGATTTAGAGTAGCAGTTCATTTCTTATCTAAGCCCCATTTTAAACATTCTTTATCAAAAGCTCAAATCTGCCACTTGCCTAAGTTTTTTTTTTCAGCCTTTTTTAAAGGTTCTGGATCTTAAGTATTTAAAATTCCCATCTCTCCCTCCCTCCCACATGAAGTGCATTTTTGGATATGCCTTGCTCTTTTATTTTAAAGATATATGAAGCTTCAGCTTCAGAAGCTGTGAACATCAGCAATGTCCATCTACCCTGAGATAACAAGAGACAAGACTTGATTAGCAGCAGATTAAATCCTCTTCCAAAATAGCTGTATGACACAAAATTCACATTCTAACATGGAAGCTTTAGGCCAATACTTCCCTTTTCATAACGTTAAGATCTACTTGCAACCTAAAACACTCTATTCCTTCAAAAACTTGTTTGACTCACTTTTCAGCTTGTTAAGTTACATCAGACTCTTTCGTGTTTTATCCTGGTTATCTTCTCTAAAGAAGATACATCCAAAGTAACACATTGTATAGACTAATATAAGTTTTTCCCCCAATTCTTTTAAAAATCAAAATTAGTCTGTACATCTAAATCTACATGATTGTTTTTCAGTCTGGCTGGTTTTAACAAGGTGGATTTACAGGTGCAGGAGGACAATTTTGATCTGTAAAGGAATCAGAAATGATTTATTTTAGTTGATATGTTAGTCACAATATCATCCTCCACCCTTTCCAAATTTCTTTCCTTGGAGAAGGGTTTCCACTGCCACTTATATTCTTAGAAAGATACAAGTAGATATTTTTTTTCTTATTTGACCCTAAATTAAACTAAAATCCAAATAGGTTGGCTTACTATACATTGAAAACTAGTTTTCAGTAAAGGTCACAATATGCTTTAACCATTTTCTTAAATGTTTTATGCCTCACTCACTAAAACAATATGAAGTAACTTGTGCTGCATAGAAAATATAGAATTCCCCCATTTCAAGGAGAACCCCTAAACATAGCTTTTTAAAAGCCAAATTACAGTGATTTACATAAATGCAAAATATAAAGCACTACCAAATATTGAATGGGTTGCTTGATTTAGATGTATTTTGAGGCTAAACAAAAAAAAAACCTGATTTTAAGATTTGTCATAAAACAAACAAATTCCACTTGAAAATCCATTTTACATTGAAAGTAGCATTATGCACAATTATTTGAGTGTTCAGATGTGGAAGATCACCAGGGCCTACAAGATCTCACATACCTCACCCCTATTTAGACATGCATCAGGACCTAATATTGTTCAGCAGGCTAAGGACTATGCACCAAATTTAGGCATCTAAAAGAAATGCTAGTTCTCCCGGTTCCTAATTTTAAGCCAAGAGAAGGACTTCAAAGGGATTGTAAAATGTTTGCTAGAATGCTGTTTTGATCCTCAACCAGCCACTTCTGATTACATTCTCAAAAAGTACCCCCTCCCCCAAAAATTCTGACCATGGACCAGTAGTTAAAAACTTAATTCTTCAGAGGAACAATCAATCTCAGGATTCTATTTGTATCAAAACAAATCAAATTAGAAAGCAAAATCTTCAGAATGGACCAATTCAAGAAGCCAGTGAAAGAAATGAACCAAAATCTAGAAGCTATAGTTAATGGACCAGTCAGGACAATAACAAAGGGGAAAGATAATAGCGCTTGCCTATTATTGATTACTGCAATTGCAGCAGCCATATCAGTGGAGTAGAAAGAGTTCTTCCAAATTCATACAAAACTATAAAGCTCTGAAAAGCATTGCTCTGGTCAGGGTAAAATTGGAATGTGGTAGCAGAAAAAGAATTCCAATCTGACCATAAATATTGTACACTCTGCCAAGAGATAGGAAACTGAGGTATGCTGCAAAAGAGTCATGGCCCTAAAGGTGATGACAGTACCAAAAATTGAAGTCAGGACTCCTCAACGTCAACTTAAATCCAGTTTCAAGGCTCCTGATTATCCTTCTGACAGGTAAAGAAAAACTAAACTATGCAGCAGAGTTTAATATTCTGGTGTCTGACAAGCCCTTTTAAAAATCAGAAAGTATTGCATGGTGTCTGAAAGACACCTGGATAAAAAGTATTTAAGTAACTGCCTCTAAAAAGCAGAGAAGTTGCACTCCGCTCCTACATCTTCTACTAAGAATGTCTCTCTTTTCCCACTGCCCATGTCATCTTCAATGCAAATGGAGAGAAAAAAGAGAACCAACTGCTATCATCAAAGCTACCTCAAGAACAGCTCTGATGACAAAGTCCTACAGCAAACAAAAGTAAGAGTTGGGGATGGGGTGGAAATCTTCACTAGTACAGTTTATCATTTCTCCCAATTATATCTTATTAGAGATCAAGATTGTTTTCAATCAAATTATGTTTGCCTATTGTAAACTGGAAGAATAGTTGAACTGCACAAACTGATCTAAGAACCTCAAGTGGTGGAAACTCGTTACTTTAGACTCAGAAGTATACAAATCCTAGACAAGTTGATCCATGAATAATCAACCAATAGGAAACTACTGTATTAAACCCACAGGAAAAAAAATGCAGCCTCTTTTAAATAAATCACATCCAGAAGATGTCCTTTCTTACGTACTTCAGCCCTTGTAGAAGATCTTGGACAATGAGAACCGTGGCTCACGCCTTATAAATCACCCACTTCTCAGTCAGCAGATTTTCTGTGGAAGGGGTGAATCGAAACATGATGTGGTCATTCCTTTGGACAGGCATAGTTGGCAATCCAATGAAGATCAGCCACCACTCCCCAGTGAAGATAGAGTATACTGACCACCACCAGTACGTGCATAATCTGATGGCTGTTGAACCAATAGTCAAAACAGCCTGGCTTCCAGCGCTCAGGCACTCGCGAGATGTTGATGACGCCCCCAAGAAAGGCCAGACCGTCCATAATGAGGTATGAACGCAGAGATTTGGGATGGCCATTGCCTAATCCCACCCACCGCAAATAGAAGAAGAAGAAGCGGAACAGAGCCTGCCAGGCAAAGGCTCGTAAGCGCCGGACACTGGAGCGAGCAGTCACTGCACAAAAGATACCATAGCTTGACAAGCCTGTGTAGGCCAGCAGGGCAATAGAACGAAGAAGTGGGGAGCAGGCCAGCGTGCAGTAGATGATTGGAAGAGCACCTGTGTGGAAAGAGACAGTCAGTCCACCAAGAAATTATAGATAAAAACAGTGGCAATCAGCTTACATGGTCAGTCACTACAGGTAGTCTCCAACTACAATGGAGCCTCACTGCGGCATAAATCAAGGCATCTTGTGACCAGACTCAATTTTACAACCTTTTTTATAACGTTCATAAAAGGAGTCAATGCAGATGTTAAGCGAATCACCTGGTTGTTAAGTGAACCACCTGGTCATTAAGCAAATCCAGCATATCCAGTGGGCATTTTTTGCTGGGAAATGGCAAAAAAGTTGCAAATTGTGATCACATGACTGCGGGACATTGCAACCAGTCACAAATGCTTGGTTGCAAGTGCCTGAAATGAGATCACATGACCTCAGAAGGGTGGGTGCAGTAGTCATAACTTTGAGAATGGGTCATACCTTTTTTTGAAGTCTATTGTAAACAGTTGTTAAACAAGGACCTCATGTAGCACTCTTGAAATATTTCAGTTTCTCAGAACAAACAGTCTTGTATTTACAACAATAGAAAGCCCCCTTTTCCCCAAATAATCTTTACAATGCAAGGATCATTCACTGAAAATGTGTTTTTCATTGTTTTAAATTCAGTTTCTTTTTTAAGTCAGCATGAGTATTTCCTTTCCAAGCATAACTAGAACTGCTCAATTCCACATCCTTTTTACCTCCACTTCATTCTTGAGCTTTTACCCAAGATAGCTTCTGCCATCACACAAAAGATTGGCTCTTCAGTACCCAAAGCCAACACAATTTGACTCATACCCTCTATGCAACCTGCTCCCAGCTCAAATACCACTTTCAGCCCTCCGCATTGCGATTTTGTCCCTTTTTTGTTCCTCCAATCCAGTAAGTCATCCATGGATAACAAGGGAGCGCTTTAACTCACCCAGAGTGTTGACCATGCATACCCCACACATATCAAGGGTGAGCAAGGTATGGTAAACAGCAGGGCCTCCCTCATGATTCATGAAGAGATGGTAAAGCACGCTGCCCAGCTGTGGAAAAATGCAAGCCAAATAGTGCACGACTCCCAGCCATGATTCTGAAAGTCGAGCCCATGGAATGGTCAGTGGCAGCACGAAGAGAAACCCCAGCAGAGGGATACCTGAAAGAAGAGGAAAGAAAGAACTGAGAGAGAGGATGACTACTCAGAATCCAATTAAGGATAGTACCAGAGATCCCTGCCTTTTTTCCAACCCTGTCAGCATTTCCTGCATCTTATCCCACCCAAATATGTGTTTGTCCCAAGCAGCATCCTTTGTTTATCAGCTGTCACAGAGCAACGATGAAAGAAATTTCACGGACCCAGCATTTTTGTGTAGAGATACTCAACCTATGGGTCCTCCTTTTAAGAGATACATTTGTTTTAGTACAGACTTTTCTAAGCCTTCCACAGCTTGGTGGCTTCCTAATGTGTTGAGATTGCATGCAAGTTGGGAATTCTGGGGGTTGAAATCCCAACATATCTGAAAGATACCAGGCTGGGGGAAGCTGGTTTATTGATTTCCTTTCGTTTAGTTCAGGTGAGGAAACTTTCAGCAACACTCAAAAATGTCTATGGAGACACACAGTCATCCAAGTCATGGTTGTCCCAAGAACTGAAGAAACTTTTTGGATGAGAAGTGAAACGTCTTCAAGAAAAAACAAAGCCCAGTTGCTTTTTGAAAAAGCACCTTTGGGAGAACACTCAAAAATATTAGCGGATGGGAGATTGAAGAAATGACATCCTTGTCCCAGTCGCTAGAAAATGTTTACTGTGAATGATATTGAGGATTCCTCAGAAGAAAGCACAAACCCAAAGAGAAAGGTTTAGAATTAAAAACTACAGTACTTGTAGATCTCTTAAGTTTGTGATCTGCTTAATCTGTGCTATTAGGTTCTCTGAGCGTTATATCTCTTTGTATGAAGTTTTACATGATTTCCACACCTTTTGGGGGGGAGGGGAGACTATAAAGGTAGTCCTCTACTTATGACCACAATTGAGCCCAACATTTCTGCTACTAACCAAGATAGTTGTTAAATGAGTTGTTGCCCATTTTACAACCTTTCTTGCCACAGTTGTTAAGTGAATCACTACAGTTGTTAAGTTAGAAATACTGTTGTAAACTGAATCTAGTTCCCCAGAGTCTTTGCCTGTCAGAAAGTCAAAAAAGGTGAACATGTGACCCCAGGTTACTCCAACTGTCATAAATACATGCCAGTTGCCAATCGTCTGAATTTTGATCAGGTGAACACAGGGATGCTGCAAGGGTTGTACATGAAAATAAGTTACCTTTTTTCAGTGCCACTGTAACTCTGAATGGTCACTCAACAAATGGTTGTAAGTCGAGGACTTACTCTGTACATTAGCTATCCAGGTTCTGGCATTTAGTGGTTGCAGGGAAGGATCTCAAAAAGTGCTATCAGAATGGCATATGCAGCCTACTTTCCCTTAAGCTATCAGAGCAGAGAGATAAAGACGTTGCATTACTTCATGTCCCTCTGTACAGAATTTTACAGGACTTCCCCATTCTGAAACCATTTCCCTATATTCCTTCCTGCAATCACCAAGTCCTGGGACCTGAATAGCTCCTAAAGTTAATGCACTGCACTAACTTGCACTAAGATGCAAATGTCCACGAACTAAACTGCTGGTAGAGGCTTTGAACTCTACAGAATAGCATCTTCCAAATAGATGGGGAAGAAATGGAGGTAGTGTCAGATTTTATTTTCCTGGGCTCCCAAGATCACCGCAGATGGGGACTGCAGCCAAGAAATTAAAAGACGCTTGCTCCTGGGGAGGAAAGCTATGGCAAATCTAGACAGCATACTAAAAAGCAAAGACATCACCCTGTCAACAAAACTACATATAGTCAAGGCTATGGTTTTCCCAGTTGCAATGTATGGCTGTGAAAGTTGGACCATAAGAAAGGCTGAGCGACAAAGAATTGAGGCCTTTGAACTATGGTGTTGGAGAAGACTCCTGCGAGTTCCTTGGACTGCAAGGCGTTCAAACCGGTCAGTCCTAGAAGAGATCAATCCCGACTGCTCTTCAGAAGGCCAGATCCTGAAGTTGAAACTCAAATACTTTGGTCACCTAATGAGAAGGAAGGACTCACTGGAGAAGAGCCTAATGCTGGGAAAGATTGAGGGCAATAGAAGAAGAATACGACAGAGAATGAGGTGGCTGGATGGAGTCACTGAAGCAGGAGGCATGAGCTTAAATGGACTCCAGAAGATGATAGAGGAGAGGAAGACCTGGAGGAACGTTGTCCATGGGGTCACGATGGGTCGGATACGACTTCGCAACTAACAACAACAATAAATCACAATAAGGACAGAACTGTCCTTATTGTGCTGTTTGCTGCCCAACATAACTATTAAAACTCATGTGGCATTCTTTGATATTTTTCCTTCAAAGAAAAAAAACCTCGCAATTATGGGGAATCTTCACATTTGTTTGATACCAACTCATCATTCTCCAGGATATGATATGTTGTCTTCCAGCCCTGATGATTCCTAAAAATTATTCTGAGGGAAAAAATGGTATGCTCCTATTATTATAATCTGGAGTAGATTTTCTTTTCACTCCAAATCCAATGAATTTCAACCATTTCTGATTTGCACATCCTGCTGTCTGTGCTTGACCTTATCCTCCTTTTTTCTCATCTCCTGTTTCCCCAGAGGTTGCAGCTTTACACAAACAGATTAGGTCTCCCTGAGCCCAATTACTGTGCTAATTGAGGCTGCCTGAAGCCAGATCTCAATTAGGAAGATGATAAACACCCCCCTTGAAGTTCATTAAGGGCCAACCATTCTACTTGTGGCAGGCCCAAGAGAAGATTCTACAAGTGACAAAGTCAACAAGTAAAACTCAGGAGGCCTGCCACTAGACTAGAGAGTGGTAGTGTCACAAATTGGCTAGTAGGCAGAAAGCTTGTGGCCAAACTTATTTTGCTAACAGGATTTCTGTAGCTTTAACAACAGTATTAAAAACAGTTCTAATTGGAGCCATTCCCCCACTTCCAAATTATTCTAATCTTTGCCAAAAAAAGAGATTCTTTCAGCTTTTGTCCAACATATATCAAGAGCATTGGGCGGCAGTAGTCAGGAGATTAAAAAGGGTGGAAATTGATTTATCTAACTTACATGTTGTCCATCTCACCATAAGCAATTCTAGGCAGCTTATAGTCATTCAATTAAAATGCAGTATAAAACATTTAAAAAAAATAAATAGGGATCTTAAATTTAAATTTAAAATTCAGTTAAAGTAACTGACCAGGATGGAGAGGGTGGGAGCAAAGGGGGGGGGAGAAGAATATTTAGGAAGAAAAACCTGAGTCTCTTAAAACATCCCAAGAGTGCTACTTTCATCATGAGAAAGCTCACCAAGAACTGAGAACCTTGGTAGAGTAGGTTACTTTATCTTGATAATGCAAGGAGAAAGCTCCACTTTTTAAAACTGACAAAAGTTCCATCCACAAAAGGAGAGGCAAAGTTTTATTCCAAACATTCCTCTAAGTTCAACACTGTCTAAACCAGTGGTTCTCAACCTGTGGTCCGCAGACTTCTGGGGAGGCTGCAGTGTCATCACGGGAGCTTGAAGAAATGTTATGATTTAACTCTTAAGTCTTGGGGGTCCGTGGACACAAAAGGTATGTAAAGGGGGTCTATGGGGAAGAAAAGGATGAGAACCACTGGGCTCTCCTACAACCCATAATACAAAGCAGCACATCTATGATTGCGACAATCAGAATTGCAGGCAACCATATCTTCCAGGTTAAGGAAAATTGACATAACTTTTCCTACCTGACCTAAACATTGGAACCTGAATGTTTTATACCCAAAGCATGTACAGATAATCCTTGACTTACAACAGCTCGTTTAGAGATCATTCAAAATTATAATGGCACTGAAAAAAGTGACTTATCACCATTTTTCACATTGCATCATCCCCATGGCTACGTGATCAAAATTCAGACGCTTGGCAACTGACTCATATTTATGACGGTTGCAGTGTCCCGGGGTCATGTGATCACCTTTTGCAACCTTCTGACGAGCAAAGTCAATGGGGAAGCCGCATTCACTTCACAATCGTGTTGCTAACTTAACAACTGCAATGATTCATTTAACAACTGTGGCAAGAAAGGTCGTAAAATGGGGCAAAACTCACTTAACAAATGTCTCACTTAGCAACATAAATTTTGGGCTCAATTGAAGTCGTAAGTCGAGGACTACCTATATCTTCCTACCAAGCTATGGTTTCACTGTCTTCAAGAATGTTCCCACTGATAGGAAGGATTATGGGCTTGGAATCTAAAACTCTGCATTTAAGGATCAAAGAAATGGTGGTGATGATGATATAACCAAGCCACTGAAGCCAGTACAGTACCAGATATTTCAATGAAGAGATACCTAAGTGTTTTTTCACCTTAGTTCTCACCGGTCCCTGGAAACTCCACCAGATGGGATGACAGCCTCAAGGACAACAGGGATGGTGTGTCAGCAGATAAACTGCAACTGTACATTTTGCCGACAGCAGAGATTTGGTACCCAAGCTCTAACTGTACAACAACAAATGCCTCCAAAATGCAGCCAAACCAATTAAACAGGCTATGCAGCAACTTAGTTCCTGAAGGAGGATGTTTTTTCACTTTAGAGGAAAATATACCAAGTTGCTGTTATTTCTCTCACATCCCCACTCTCAGAGCACCGAGGAACCTGATTTCCAACCTCAGAGAAGAAAGGTAACAAAACCTGAATTGAAACATCCCAAAAGATGCCAAGAAACTTGAAAGCAGCTGAAAATTGGTTTTAAAAATTGGGTGGGAAAATTAGTTTTAGAAATTGGGTGAGTCTGTGCAGGTAATAACAGTTGAAGTTGTATGTGAATGTCTTAACTACACCATAGATTTAAGCTGAGGAGGCAAAATTCAGTGCACTTCAACGGGAAGGTTCTAGCTCTTTACTGTAGTCTGAAATTTCAGTTCTGTAGCAGTAGTGGAAGAGGCAAGTATGCAAATCCACAGATAGCCATAAAACACAGTGATGGCCTTGGGAAGTCATTGTGTACTAGGCTTTCCTGCAGGATCTCTCTCTCTTGAGGGACACAAGGTATAAATAAAT